TCTCAGTCGTACTGCTCGCCGACGTGCTGGGCGTAGTGGTGCCGCTGGTACCGGTCGCACCTGTCATACTCGTGGTGCTGCTCTCGGCCGGACTGCTCGCCGACGTGCTGGGCGTGGTGGTGCCGCTGGTACCGGACGTACTCGTCATACTCGTGGTGCTTCTCTCAATTGTACTGCGCGCCGACGTGCTGGGCATAGTGGTGCCGCTGGTACCAGTCGCACTCGTCATACTCGTGGTGCTGCTCTCGGTCGTAGTGCTCACCGACGCGCTGGGCGTAGCGTTGCCGCTGGCACCGGGCGCACTCGTCATACTCGTGGTGCTGCACTCTGTGGTACTGCCCTCCGACATGCTGGGCGTAGTGGTGCCGTTGATACTGGTCGCACTCGTCATACTCATGGTGCTGCTCTCGGTCGTACTGCTCGCCGACGTGCTGGGCGTAGTGGTGCCGCTGGTACCGGTGAGACTCGACATACTCGTAGTGCTGCTCTCGGTCGTACTGCAATCCGACACGCTGGGCATAGTGGTGCCGCTGGTACCGGTCGTACTCGTCATACTCGTGGTGCTGCTCTCTGTGGTACCGCCCTCCCACGTGCTGGGCGTAGTGGTGCCGCTGGTGCCTGTCGCACTAGCCATATTCGTGGTGCTGTTCTCGGTCGTCCTACTTTCCGACGTGCTGGACGCAGTGGTGCCGCTGGTGCCGGTCGCACTCGTCATACCCGTGGTGCTGCTTTCGGTCGTACTGCTCGCCGGCGCGCTGGGCGTAGAGGTGCTGCGGGTCGCGGTCGTGTTCGTCACACTTGTGGTGCTACTCTCGGTCGTACTGCTTGCCGACTTGCTGGGCGTAGTGATGCTGCTGGTCTCGGTCGTGCTGATCATACTCGCGGTGCTGATCTCGGTCGTACTGCTCGCCAACGTGCTGGGCGTATAGTGGTGCTGCTGGTCTCGGTCGTGCTCGCCCCACTCGTGGTGCTGCTGCTTTCGATTATAATACTCGCCGACGTGCTTGACTTAGTGGTACTGCTGGTTTCGGTCGTGCTCGGCACACTCGTGGTGCTGCTCTCGTTCGTGCTGCTCGCCAGCGCGCTGGGAGTGGTGGTGGTGCTGCTGGTATCGGTTGCGTTCGCCGCACTCGTGGGGCTGCTTCCGGTCGTACTGCTCGCCGACGTGCCGTGTGTAGTAGTGTTGCTGGTCTCGGTCGCGCTCGTCACCCTCGTGGTGCTGCTTTCGGTCGTACTGCTTGCCGACATGCTGGGCGTAGTGGTGCTGCTGGTACCGGTCGTGCTCGTCACACTCGTGGTGCTGCTCTCGGTCGTACTGCTCGCCGGCGCGCTGGGCTTAGTGGTGCTGGTGGTCTCGGTCGTGTTCGTCACCCTCGTGGTGTTGCTCTCGGTCGTACTGCTTGCCGACGTGCTGGGCATAGTGGCGCTGCTGGTACGGGTCGTGCTCGTCACACTCGTGGTTCTTCTTTCGGTCGTACTGTTCGCCGACGTGCTGTGCGTGGTGGTGCTGGTGGTACGGGCCGTGCTCGTCACACTCGTGCTGCTCTCGCTCATGCTGCTCGCCAACGCGCTGGGCGTAGCGATGCTTCTGGTACCTATCGTGTTGATCATCCTCGCGACGCTGCTTTCGGTCGTACTGCTCGCCGACGTGCTGGGCGTAGTGGTGCTGCTGGTCTCGGTCGTGGTCGCCACCCTCGTGGTGCTGCTCTCGCTTGTATTACTCTCCGATGTGCTGGGCGCAGGGGTGCTGCTGGTGGCGTTCGTGCTCGTGATTCTCGTGGTGCTGCTCTCGATCGTACTGTTCGCCGACGTGCTGGGCGTAAGGGTGCCGCTGGTACTGGTCGTACCCGTCTTACTCGTGGTGCTGCTTTCAGTCGTAGTACTCTCCAACGTGCTTGGCGTAATGATGCTGCTGGTGCCTGTCGCACTAGCCATACTCGTGGTGCTGCTCTCGGTCGCACTGCTTGCCGACGTGCTTGGCGTAGTGCTGCCGCTGGTACAGGTCTTACTCGTCACACTTGTGGTGCTGCTCTCGGTCGTAATGCACGCCGACGTGCTGGGCGTAGTGGCGCCGCTGGTACTGGTCTTACTCGTCATACCCGTGGTGCTGCTCTCAGTCGTACTGCTCGCCGACGTGCTGGGCGTAAAGGTGGCGCTGGTACCGGTCGTACTCGTCATACTCGTGGTACTGCTCTCGGTTGTACTGCTCGCCGCCGTGCTGGGCGTAGTGGTGCCGCTGGTACTGGTCGCACTCGTCATACTCGCGTTGCTGCTCTCGCTCGTACTGCTCACCGACGTGCTGGGCGTAGTGGTGCCGCTGGTACCAGTCGCACCTGTCATACTCGTGGTGCTGCTCTCGGTTGGACTGCTCGCCGATGTGCTGGGCGAAGTGGTGCCGCTGGTACAGGTCGCACTCGTCATACTCGTGGTGCTGCTCTCGATTGTATTGCGCGCCGACGTGCTGGGCATAATGGTGCCGCTGATACCAGTCGCACTCGTCATACTCGTGGTGCTGCTCTCGGTCGTAGTGCTCACAGACGCGCTGGGCGTAGTGGTGCCGCTGGCACCGGTCGCGTTCGTCATACTCGTGGTGCTGCTCTCTACTCGTCATACTCGTCATACTCGTCATACTCGTCCGACTTAATGCTAAACTCAGGACGTGGGCGTTTTTGTTCGCCATTTTCGGCCTCTGGCCCCCCTCGCTGGGCACCGGGGGCGTCACAGAACAGCTCGGGACGAAAAACCGGTCCTGGGGAATGGGTCGAGACTTCCGGCTGGCCGGCGTGGAACAAATCACGACGTCGGATCTCTGGGTGAGCGTTGGCTTGATGGAAGTTCTGTCAAATATACCTGTACAGCACTTCCCACCTGTGAACCCGCCGCCGCCGCCTCTTCGGACGGCGCTGGGCCCAACCGGCGTGCAAGCGAGTCCTGGCTTGGCTTGGGTCGACCCTGAAGGCGGTCCGAGAAGTTTACGTGAAGCGCTCGTGGTCGGACGCTCCATCATACTCGGAGTCCGACCCAGCAGGAGGATCGACGGATCGCTGGACGGCCCTGCATTTGCACTCGTGGGCGATCGCCCCCGCCCCCGAGCCTCCCCGCTCCCACGCTGACCGAGACGGGCACGGCGATGGCGGGGCAGGCCTGGCGGCGGCCTCCTCCTGCAGGGCCGGAGGGGCAGCAGGGAGAGCCCCGCGGGGACGGCCGAATCGCGGCTCTTTGGCCCCCTTTCTCTGTAGTGGGGGAACTGGCCCAACTTGATGCGCCCGAGCTGTTCGGTTCCCCCTTTCCCTGGGCGCCCGCTGCAGTAATCGTGGGGGCTCTGCGTGAGCTGCCCGTCAGAGCCGGGCGCAGTCTATACCAACAGCACGACACACCGCGCACTATGGCCCTGCAAAACAGTGGAGGCCCGAGCACAAGAAATCCTCCACAAGAAACCCAACCTGAGGCCCCAGGACGTCCATGGATGTTTGGCGTGGGAGCGTCGCGCCCTCCATCGCAAAACCATCGGAACCCAAGAAACCCAGGGCACTCTGGAGGCAAGCAGGGTGTTTCTTGGCGTGGACCCCCACTGTACTGGAAAGAACGGATCAGAGGGACGCCCGAGGCGGACAAGTGGGGGCGGGGATGTGTTGACTGAAAAAACAGCTTCTGCAAGCCCATCAGCCTAAGTGTAAGCTTGCGTGGCAGTTACACGGTTGGGAGGGGGTCCTTCTTCAGGAGGGGGATCTCGCTAGACACCTCGTTGAGCTGCATGATCATAGTGTATCGCTCCTCGATTACGCACCAAGTAGATACAAAACAAATCCTTTTCAAAATGGGGCCCTCGCCAAAATGGAAGGCCCATGTGGTGCTGGTCTTTCAACGGGCACGTTTCGTCCTGCGAGAACAAAAGATTTTGGGGACGTGCGAGGTTAGGAGTTGGGGCAGAGGGGTGTACTGAAGAATCGCTGATGCTTCATGGGTGGGTATTCTCTCGTCTTTCCTCATCCTCCTCTAACTCCAACTCTCCCTCCTCCACCTCCTACTACGACGACGACGACGAAGACTACGAGTACGACTACTACTACTACTACTACTACTACTACTACTACTACTACTACTACTACTACTACTACTACTACTACTACTACTACTACTACTACTACTACTACTACTACTACTACTACTACTACTTGTACTACTGCTGCTAGTACTACTACTACGCCTATTCCTACGACTACTGCTTATACTAGTACTCGTACTCGTACTCGTACTAGTACTACTACTACGACTACTACTACTACTACTACTACTACTGCTGCTACTACTACTACTACTGCTACTACTACTACTATACTACTACTACTACTACTACTACTACTACTACTACTACTACTACGACTACGACTACGACTACTACTACTACTACTACTACTACTACTACTACTACTACTACTACTACTACTACTACTACTACTACTTATACTACTACTACTACTACTACTACTACTACTACTACTACTACTACTACTACGACTACTACTACACTACTACGACTACTACTACTACACTACTACACTACTACTACTACTACTACTACTACGACTACCTACTACTACTACTACTACTACGACTACGACTACGACTACTACGACTACTACGACTACGACTACGACTACGACTACGACTACGACTACGACTACGACTACGACTACGACTACGACTACGACTACGACTACGACTACTACTACTACGACTACGACTACGACTACGACTACTACGACTACTACGACTACTACTACTACTACTACTACTACTACTACTACTACTACTACTACTACTACTACTACTACTACTACTACTACTACTACTACTACTACTACTACTACTACTACTAGTCCCTCGTCAACTCCATCCCTCACCTCTCCCAGCCTCGAACACCTCCTCACACGTCCTCCCTCCTCTCCGCTCCTCTGCGCCCTCGTCACCCCCCCCTCCCCGGCGCCCGCGCTCCCCGCCAGTGCAGCATCGCGGCAACCACCACTGGCCAGTGCTCCTGCCACACGGCGGCGACCGGGTGCGCCTGCCGCCGAAAGTCGGGGGCTGGAGAAAAAGAGAGAGAGAGAGAGACAGAAAGGGAGAGAGAGAGAGAGAGAAAGGGAAAGAGCGAAAGGGAGAGAAAGCGAGATTTGTGAATATGCATATGTATATACAAGACTGCAGTGGCGCTTCGCGCCATGTACATTGGTCCTTGAAGTTGGGCATGCAGGTAGAAGGACAGGCAAATCAAATATGAAAGATAGCGACAACTCCGTGTTGCCATTTCCGACATCGCCGTTCGGATAATGGTATCGATTAGTATGTTATCATGTTTTCTTCTCCCCTTCCTCAGTATCACCCCTCTGCGATTTGTTCCCCATCGTCCTCAGCTCTTTTTACGAGGCTCCTCCTTGAATAGCCTCGTGGGGGGCCCCACGGAAGTTGTAAGGGCTTCTTGGGGACGTCTGGAGGCCTCCTGGGGGGCTCTGGTGAATTCCTCGGGCCACCCTGCTTCCAACCGCGGTCTCCCTGAACGGCTGGGATACGATCTGGAATTTGAAATGGTTCGGGGGGCGTCTTGGGGACATCTTGGGCCGTCATAGGGCTCCTTTCGGGCCATCATGGGGCCCCCGTGGGCGGTCTTGGGGCTCTCTTGAACTGCCTGGAAACCACTTTGGATAGCTTCTGGATGAATTTCAAGCCTCCTGGGCGGTCTCGGACGCGCAGAAAGTCAGAAGAACAGCGCATTCCCAAATTCACGCAAAAGCCAATGAGAGATCTGTGTTTTTCTGCGTTTGGGAGGCCCCTTGGGGGTATACTTTGGGTCGCCTTCGGGCGTCTGGTGGGTGTCTGGGGCCTACTGGGGCTCTCGCGAGGCCGTTCGGCTGCCCTCCTCACCGATTTGGGCCCGTTGCCTGGGCCCCGCCTGAAAGCGTCGGGGACCTTCTGCAGGGGCGTGCAGGGGGCCCCCGGGGCCGCGGATCCAGGGGGTGCGAAGCTGGGGATTCTGGAGGTCCAGCCCGGGAGGGGGGGTCCCACCCCCTGGACTGCAAAAATATCGAACAGCATACATAAATAGATGCACAGAAAAAGATCAAGAGAGATAGAGAGAGAGAGAGAGAGAGAGAAACAAAAAAAAAAAGCCTGGCGAAGGACCCAACCATATGCAGTTGTGAATACCGCGATTGTGGATCTCATCTTCGCTCGCGCTCCCTATGGGGCCACGAACCGTGTGAGGGGGCGTGCCGAAATGCGTGGCGGGGTCCCCAATACGAACAAAGACGATCGCTCTGAGTGCGCGAGACTGAGACCGGGTGAGCCTGAGCGCGAGTAAGTCTGATTGTGAATGTGTCTGCGTGCGAATCAGTCTACGTGCATCAATGTCGACGCCCATGCCGGCACGCCCCTCACGAGGATCGCGCCCGCTTCCTTCCCCTTCTCTTTCTGCTCTTTGCCCGTGCACGCCGATGTCCATGGCTGCGGGCGCGGCGCCGCACTGAGTCCCCGCGACGCACGCTGGTCGCCCCGAAGGGGTCCCGGCGACGCGCGCGGGTCGTCCGCTGCGCGGAGCAGAGAGCTGGCCGGGTGATAGCGGGCAAGACTGTGGCCGCTGGGCAGAGCGGCGCCGCCGTGGGAGTGCCAAAATGGGGCGGCGCCGCCATGGGAGTTCCGCCACTGTGACCTTAGGTGGAGCTCCCTATCGGGCCACGAAACGTGTGAGGGGTGTGCCAAAATGGGGAGGCGGCGCCATGCGAGTTCCGCCACGGGGACCTTCGGTGGAGCTCCCTATGGGGCCACGACGCGTGTGAGGGGTGTGCCAAAATGGGGCGGCGGTGCCATGCGAGTTCCGCCACGGGGACCTTCGGTGGAGCTCCCTATGGGGCCACGACGCGTGTGAGGGGTGTGCGAAAATGGGGCGGCGGCGCCATGCGAGTTCCGCCACTGGGACCTTAGGTGGAGCTCCCTATGGGGCCACGAAACGTGTGAGGGGTGTGCCAAAATGGGGCGGCGGCGCCATGCGAGTTCCGCCACTGGGACCTTAGGTGGAGCTCCCTATGGGGCCACGAAACGTGTGAGGGGTGTGCCAAAATGGGGCGGCGGCGCCATGCGAGTTCCGCCACTGGGACCTTAGGTGGAGCTCCCTATGGGGCCACGAAACGTGTGAGGGGTGTGCCAAATGGGGCGGCGGCGCCATGCGAGTTCCGCCACTGGGACCTTAGGTGGAGCTCCCTATGGGGCCACAAACGTGTGAGGGCCAAAATGGGGCGGCGGCGCCATGCGAGTTCCGCCACTGGGACCTGGGGTGGAGCTCCCTATGGGGCCACGAAACGTGTGAGGGGTGTGCCAAAATGGGGCGGCGGCGCCATGCGAGTTCCGCCACTGGGACCTTAGGTGGAGCTCCCTATGGGGCCACGAAACGTGTGAGGGGTGTGCCAAAATGGGGCGGCGGCGCCATGCGAGTTCCGCCACTGGGACCTTAGGTGGAGCTCCCTATGGGGCCACGAAGCGTGTGAGGGGTTTACCAAAATGGGGCGGCGGCGCCATGCGAGTTCCGCCACTGGGACCTTAGGTGGAGCTCCCTATGGGGCCACGACACGTGTGAGGAGTTTGCCGAAACAGAGACATGCGGAAAGCAAAAGCCAGGATGGGGGAGGAGGGAGGAGGGGGAGGAGGAAGGAAGGAAGGAGACGCGGGGCACCGTCTCTTCAAAACGAGGACCCAACACCACAGGATGGTTGGGAAAAAAACAGAGAGACAGCGAGAGAGAGAGAGAGAGATAGACAAAGAACGAGCCTGAGGGACAGAGAGAGTCCGAGGTGGAGAAGGAAATCCGAGGAGCCCCGCTGCCGCTCCCGTGTTCCGTGGGATGATCCGATGCGCGGTCGGACCCCGTTTTCCCCCCCTTCCCCTTCACAGCGAAGAGCAGCAGAAGCCTCCTGAGCACTAGCGGCACTCAAACACGAGAAACGAATTGGACAGAGACACGCAACCGCACTCACACGCACACACACACACACATACACACACACACACACACACACACACACACACGCACACACACGCACTGTTCCTCGAGCAGCGAGGTGGCGGCACCCCTGTCGCGAAGTGCTGGGCCAGGTCACGCTTCGGCGAACTTCCGCCTGGCTTGGCAGGTGGGCGGGCTGGGCGCGGCAGGTAGCGTGAAAGAGAAACAACTCCGGAGCGGACATGCACGTGGAAGAAGCCGGCGCGGCCATGCAATGCAAGTGAGATCAAGACGACGGCCGGCGAGTAGCAAGGGCGAAGGGCGCGCGGCGGGAGTGAAACTCCACAGCACTCAGGCGTGGCACGTGAAGAAACTGACGAGACAGCTGCAGTGATGTGGCCTGTCGCGCTGCCCTCGTCGTTGCAGCAGTGCCACGGCTGAGGACAAGGAAACACACACACACACACTTACACTCACACACAATGGTTAAGTGCACGCGGCCAGGGCAAAGAGCCACACGAGCGATCCATACATACACTCATACACTCACACACAAGCCCACAATCACGCATACCTACATACATACATACATACGTACATACACACACATACATCATTCATACATGGAAACACGCATACATGCATGCATGCAAACATGCATATATGCATACACACATGTACGTACATACGTGCATGCATGCATGCATACATACATGCACACAGTCATCCACACATACATATATGCAAGCATGCGTTCGCATGGAAGCATGCATACATACAACCAAACAAACATACATGCACAAGTGGATACATGCACACACGCACGCTTTCGTGCATGCATCCATGCATGAACACATACATGCGTGCATGCATGCATGAATGAATGAACTAATGCATACACACACGCAGATAAACATACATGCTGACATAACTGCATAAACGCATACATATATTCATGCATACATACATACATGCATGCATGTATGTATACATACATGCATGCATGCATATAGAAAAACTCACCTTCACACATACACAAACGCACAACACCGTGCATACGCGCGTGTACATGCATGCAAACATACATGCATGCATACATCCATACTTTTGTACATGCACACATGCATACAGACATTCCAGGCATGCCTGCATGCATGCATAGATAATGACATACCTACATACATGCACGCACATGTGTAAAACCACACATACATACATACGTGCATACATACACACAAACATACACACAAACATACGCACGCACATACACAGGCATACATGCATGCATTCATACCTACATACAAACATGCACACATGCAAGCGTACATACATACATGCATACATACATGCATACACTGTATATAAACAGACATGCATACATACAAGCATACATTCATACATACATGCATGCATACATACGCACATATGTCCATATATATATACCTACATACATTTTTATATATATATATATATATACATATACATATATATATATATACACCTCTGTGGCGTCGCGGCTACGAGCGCAGCAGCGCGGCGTTAGAAAAGTCGGGCGAACAGACGCGCGCGGCCGGCCCAGGTCACGCGGCGTGGACATGCTGGATCCGCCCACAGGGCATCAGCAGCATCACTCGCGAGGGAGCAGTCGCGAAGAGCAGAGGGGGAGAGGGGGACACGGGTAATTAGACAGAGTACCGAACAGCGCGCAGTCCAGGCAGCGAGGATGGCACGCAGTGGCGACCCGCAGCGGCAGAGCGCGCAGAGGCGAGGCAACAGGCAGGACGAGGACCCTGACAGCAGGACGGGGACAGGGACGGAAAGGGCGGCAGCCGAGGAGCGCCACCGACGAGGAAGCGGAGACGACCGACCGCTCGGGGAGCGGACGAACGACGCGCAGGGGCGCCGGCCGAGGCCCCATTTTGAGGCAGCGGTGGCAGTGCAGGGTTGGCCCAAGGCGCGGACGACCGACAGGGGAGCGCATATCGACGCGCACCACGGAGCGGGGGCGAGGGGGCGGGGGGGCGGGCCGCGTGGGGCCATGTCAGGGCAGCGGGCGCGGAGCCCCCCAAGGTCCAGGGCCACGGCGAGCGCCACGAGGGAGAGCGGCGGGACGGAGCCGAGGGCCACGGATGCCGGCCGACAGGGCGCCCAGTGCGAGGGCGAGGGCTCAGGGCGGCGGCTTCGGTTGGGACGCGCACGCACAGACACACACGCACACTTTTTCCGTCGGCGGCAGGGCAGAATGGCTGCACCAGCGGTAGGGCTAAACGGGGGCACCGAAAAGCGAACTGGCCAGCACGCAGGAGAAGGAAGGGGACGGACAGGGCGGCCGCGAAGGGGGGAAGAGGCGGGGCCCCTCAGAGGCGGAAGACGTCCATCCCGAGTGTGCTGGCGCGGCCGGCCCCGTCAGCGGGGACCACGGCAGCAGCCGGGACACGCACGCACACAGACACACAGACACAGACACAGACACACAGACACACACACACACACACACAGACACACCCACAAGCACACACACACAGACACACCCACAAGCACACACACACAGACACACCCACAAGCACACACACACACACACACGCACACACGCACGCACACACACAGACACACACAAACAAACAAACACATCCACACCCCCACACACTCACTCACTCACTCAGACACAGACACAGACAGGAACTTCCATGAATCGCGGAAGCGATGCTCGCAGAGGCGCGTCTGTGCCGCGTGACCCAGGCATGACGGGACCTGGCAAGGGCAAGCGACAGGCAGACGGCGCAGGCGAGAAGCAAGGGCAGCGAGAGTGATGTTGCTCCCATCGTACTTAAAGACCACATTCCAGAAATAATTTCGAGCACCCAGAAAAGCATCGAACAAAAAGTGTCGAGCGAGTATCGCCTCCCGGGGCCCGCCACGTGAAAACCTGCCAGCTTCGGTGCTTCCTTGTTGCTCGGACTTCTTTCTGGTGGTCAGGGCTAAGGTGGGTTGGAACACCGCCAACGAAAGACGCACGAAAGGGAAAGAGCAGAGAGCGTAAGCGTACGGAGGACGCACGCGGGCGGAGGGCGGAACCGACTCGCACAACGGGCCTCTCGCTGGACCCTCCCAGGAACCGCAGGGCCGCACTGCTCTGCACGTCTCTCGGGCCGGGCGAAAGGGGGGGGATAGCACAGGGGGGGGGGGTGAGAATCAGCTCACGTGGCCGATCTTCCCGGCGCCTCCCGGCGCCAGAGGCGGCCATGTATCCCGGAATGGGCCCCTTGGCGAGGCCGAAACCAGCTGCATGCAGCAAATTTCGCACCCCCCCCTTTCCCAATCCCCCCCCTTTCGCCCGGCCCGAGTCTCGCAGCCAGACAGCATGGCGCATCCTTTTCAAAAGAAAAGTCTCGTCTGAATCGCAGGCCGATGAAGCTAGTCTGTAAGGGGTGCGCTTCCCTCAAGGAAACGAGATGGATTGTAGGGGGCTGAAGAGAAGGGAACTTCGGACGGGAGAATAGTTTGCCGCATCGTTAATGCATATAGGGTTTGCTCTCAAGTCCCCATGAGCGAAGGGAATGTTCTCCACCGTGCCGGCAGCACGTAGTGGAGTGCCCCAAGGCTCATGCAGTCCTGAGGAGTTCAGAGTTGTAGGTTTTAAAAGCTTTTGAGTGCCCGGGCCACCAGTCTCACAAGGATTTCTAGGGATTCTCCGGGATTTCCAGATTTCCGGGGATTCCCCAGGATTTCCCGAGGATTTCTGGGGATTCCCCGAGATTCGCCGGGATTCCCCAGGCGTGTCGCGCGCGTCCTCTGGTAGCGCAGCCAGCCAAACATGGGCCCAAAAAGCGCCAAAGAGGGCCGAAGATGTCTCCCAGAAGGCCCAAGAGTGCCCCAATACGCCCAAGATGGCCTCAACACGGTCCAAGAGGCCCCGAATACGTCCCAAAAGTGATCCAAGAGGCGTCCCAAGAGGACCCCAAGAGGCACAAATCATTGATTTTCCGCAGGTTTTCGAAGGTGTTTGACCTTCTCGCCTTTTCGGCTTTCCGACGCTCGTAGACGGCCCACGAGGCTCCCAAGATCGCCCCAAGACTGTCCCAGAGGCTCCCAAGAGAGCCCCAAGACGGCCGAAGGGCCGCACAGGACCCCGAAGACGGCCCCAAGAGGGGGCCCCAATGGAGCACCCGAACGGACATGTCGAGCCCTCGGCCCAACTGGCCCCCCAGGAGGCCCCAGGAGGCGCCCAAGAGGCCCCGAGAGGCTCCCAAGCGGCCCCAAAACTGCTCCCAAGAGGCCCCCCAGAGGCCAGGGGATGGGAGACAGGGCAGCGTAAAGAGACCAGGGCAGGCAGACAGTCGGCCGCAGGGGGAAACGCACACACCACATACACACACACACACACACACACGCACGCACGCACGCACGCACGCACGCACACACACACACACAGAGACACACACACACACGCGTACACACGCACCCACACACGCGTACACACCACACACGCGTACACACATGCACACACACCACA